ATAATTAGCTTACAGATCATAACAGTGTAATACGGATTTGAATCAGGACATCCAACCACTTTTCAACTGCAAGAAATATATCACCAAATATGTAAGTCTGCAGATCAGCAGGACTATTTGTACATGGTTTTCTGTGATATTTCTAAAACTTTTGACCGAGTGAGGCACAAGGAATTATTTCGCAAGTTACAACAATATGGCAATGGTTAATGGTTTCATAGCTCTCTCGCTTAAGACGCCTACACCTTACTGTTAACGGTTGTCTCTCCAGTGAACAAATCCTACACGCTGGCGTCCCTCGGGGATCAGTCCTTGGGTCATTATTATTTTTGATCTATATTTAATGACATATGCAAAGAAATGAGAAATATGACATGTCTGTTTGCAGATGATACCAGCATCTCCAGATATGAAATATATTGAAAACTCCATAAATTAAAATTGATGCAAATTACATAACTGGCGCAAACAATTCAATCCTGCAGGTGATTCAGTGATGCAGGTTTCAGACGTTTACCACTTCGGTGAAACCCACGAACACGGGTATGGTGCTAACAAACCTAGAAACATAATCGGGGCGAACCGAGAAGATGATGAAGAAGAAGATGATATGAAGAAGAAGAAGATGATGATGATGATGATGATGAAGAAGAAGAAGAAGAAGATGATGATGATGATGATGATGATGAAGAAGAAGAAGATGATGATGATGATGATGATGAAGAAGAAGAAGAAGAAGATGATGATGATGATGATGATGAAGAAGAAGAAGAAGAAGATGATGATGATGATGATGATGAATTAGAAGAATAAGAAGAAGAAGAAGATGATGATGATGATGATGATGATGATGATGACGATGATGACGACGACGACGACGACGACGATGATGATGATGATGATGATGAAGAAGAAGAAGGCGATGATGATGAAGAAAAAGGAGAAAGGACAATATCTTATTAACGTGTTACATATTGCACGATACAATAAATCACAAACAATGCAATATCCGGCCGCAGGACCAATAAGAAACGAACATTCACTATTGACATTTTTTTGAAATTTAAAATAAACATATTTGAGCAGTGTCACCTACTGGGCTTAACGTTATAGCAATAAATTTATCACACACAGCGATGAGCGCTTTTTGGATGATTTACAACAAGTTCATCATACACACGCAGCGCTAGACACTTATTTGGATAATATACAACATTTTCCATACACACAACGCTAAATGCTTATACAACTTCCTCGCACACAGCGCTGAACCCTTATTGGATAACTTACAACTTCTTCCCACAAAGCGAAGAACGCTTATTGGATAATGTACAACATCTTCCTCTCACACAGCGCAGAACGCTTATTAGATCATGTACATCTTCCTCTCACACAGCGCAGAACGCTTATTAGATCATGTACATCTTCCTCTCACACAGCATAGAACACTTATTAGATCATGTACATCTTCCTCTCACACAGCATAGAACGCTTATTAGATCATGTACATCTTCCTCTCACACAGCATAGAACGATTATTAGATCATGTACATCTTCCTCTCACACAGCATAGAACACTTATTAGATCATGTACATCTTCCTCTCACACAGCATAGAACGCTCATTAGATCATGTACATCTTCCTCTCACACAGCATAGAACGCTTATTAGATCATGTACATCTTCCTCTCACACAGCATAGAATGCTTATTAGATCATGTACATCTTCCTCTCACACAGCATAGAACGCTTATTGGATCATGTACATCTTCCTCTCACACAGCGCAGAACGCTTATTAGATCATGTACATCTTCCTCTCACACAGCATAGAACACTTATTAGATCATGTACATCTTCCTCTCACACAGCATAGAACGCTTATTAGATCATGTACATCTTCCTCTCACACAGCATAGAACGCTTATTAGATCATGTACATCTTCCTCTCACACAGCATAGAACGCTTATTAGATCATGTACATCTTCCTCTCACACAGCATAGAACACTTATTAGATCATGTACATCTTCCTCGCACACAGCATAGAACGCTTATTAGATCATGTACATCTTCCTCTCACACAGCATAGAACGCTTATTAGATCATGTACATCTTCCTCTCACACAGCATAGAACGCTTATTAGATCATGTACATCTTCCTCTCACACAGCATAGAACACTTATTGGATAATGTACAACATCTTCCTCTCACACAGCATAGAACGCTTATTAGATCATGTACATCTTCCTCTCACACAGCATAGAACGCTTATTAGATCATGTACATCTTCCTCTCACGCAGCGATGAACGCTTAATGCATGATACACATCTTCCTCTCACACAGCGCTAAAACTTATTGAATAATATACACATTTTCCTCTCAAACAGCTCAGAATGGTTATTGGATAATATACATCATTCTCTCACACAACGTTGATCGCGTATTGGATGATATGCAACATCTTCTTCTCGCACAGCACAGAATGGTTATTGGATGATATAAATCATCTTCCTCTCACGCAGTGCTAAAAAATTAATTATTTTTAGATATGTCCCCTCTATATCACGATGAAGCATCTTTATTTTCTCTGACACCTGTCAAATGCGACCTTTCTTCTGATTGGTCCACTTATTTAAACTTCCTTTCTCACCTGCCGTCCTCATCATGCATTCTGCATGAACTCTTATGAGAGTGGTCTCTTATTCCCAGGTGAGAACCATTTCAATATTCCTATCTTTTTCACATATTTGTGTTGCATTCTTTGCGTGTATGTTTGCCGTTAAAGTAGACTATGCTTGTCGTAAAAGGCGACTAACAGGATCGGATGGTCAGGCTCGCTGACTTCGTTGATGCATGTCATCGATCCCAATTGCGTGGATCAATGCTCATGATATTAATCACTGGATTGTCTGGTCCAGACTCGATTATTTACAGACCGCCGTCATATAGCTGGAATATTGCTGGGTGCGGCGTTAAACAACAAACAAACAAAACAAAACCTTTGCATGCATGGTCTTCAACCACGTGCTACTCCATTACCACATATAAATTAGAATCGTTTCCTTTGGCTTAAATTAGATGATATTATTCTGCGTGAATTCTTATGGAGGGGGTTCTTTTTTCCTCACACACAGTGCTGAACACTTATTGAATAATGTACAACATATTTTATACACACAGCACAAAATACTTATCGGACAAAAATTTTTTCTCACACACAGCTATGAACTCTTCCCGAATAATTTACAACTTTCTCACACTCATTTCTGAACTCTTATTGGGTAGTGTACACCAACAAATGTACAATTAGGTATTTAAGTAAATCATGTCTTTATTACACGGAGTGTGGCGGGCGTCGACAAAGAGAGTGTCCGCGGGTCAAGGGATCATGGGTCCCGAGTCCCGCAGGTCGACCGCTAACGCGGCCGTGTCTCTTTCGCATACCAGCACAAACATAGAGATTTATACATGATAACAAATACATTTAAAGAAGTACGTGCTGATGAATATCATACAATTTAATTTGAAAGGACATGAATAAATTGACTTTATGTGACTGACATTTATGCTTATCTATCTATAATGAAGCTGAGTGAGTGAGTTGGGTTTAAGGCAGCTTTTAACATTATTTCAGTCATATCACGGGGTGTCAGCTTAATGTGGGAGGAAAGTGATGCGAAGTGATGCAGGTCTCAGACGGTTACCACTTCGATGAAACCCACGAGCACAGGTATGGTTCTGACAAATCTAGAAACATAATCGGGGTGAACCGGGATTCGAACCCACAATCATAGGTTTCTGGCGTGTCCAAGGGACGCAACTCTGCGCAGCGAATCGCGGCGCCTTGGACGACTAGGCCACCCGTGCCCCCATAATGAAACTGAGACTTCACATGCATGACATGTGGCATGTCGCTTGGGGCGTCAATCAGCAATCCTAAATTACAAATGACGGACACCATCACAAAGGACAGACGGTGGAAGCTGTGACATTTATTTAATATAAGAACTTTTATTGTGTGACGAAATTGCGCCAACTGAGCCAGACGACTTTACTTACATGAATCAAAATCACATAAACTAACAAACATCCACCATACCCAGCTCCCTTAGTTCTCCTCCCCATCCCCATCGGCATCTATTCCAAATCTCAAGGATCGCCTCCATGGTCTTGTGGTAGAGCGTCCGCCCGGAGAGCGGAAGGTCCGCGGTTCGATCCCCGGCCGCGTCATAGAAAAAGACGTTAAAAGATTGTACTTGTTGTTACCCTGTCTGGCGCTCGGCATTAAGGGGCTAAAACAAGGACTGATCGGCTCGGAGTCAGTTTTATGTGTCTGAGTGGGGTATTCATGTTAACCTGCGGCATGGTATCTCAGTGAGCTAGCACTATAAATCGGCATCAGTCCGGACTAGTACAAGCAGCCACACACACACACATACACGTGCATGCACGTCGCTATATAAGTGCAATAATCTTGGACGCGACGTTAAACCCCATTTCACCTCACCAAATCTCAAAATTCCCAAATTCTATATGAGCAACCCCTAAAGCCCCCTCTTGGGTTGCACACACCACTTTCGCCCTTTCGGAAACACATTAAATGGCCTGGCCGGGCCCGTGTGCGAAATACGCATCAGTCGGAAAGCGCACGTTAAATTTCCAAAGTAAGTAAGTAAGTAAGGCATTCATTCACCTAATGAAGGAGTAAGCATATACTCCGAAACGTTGTGTTCCTCATAATAAAGAAGTTGGCATCCATATATTCTCTTCTTCATGTGAATCACTTCTAAATGCCTTTCAAAGACCTGACAAACGTAGCTGTATGATATTATCATGAAAAAAACAGGACACGCGCAGAACACGTTAGAGAAATAGGTATAACGGGATCGGGGAGTCAAGTTATAATAAAACAGACTGGTCCCCTGCCTCTGTTGAGGCCACGAGCAGGGCACCAGTCTATTCTAAATATAGCTACACAAGCGCCCCTAGCGGGGATCACCACACTCCAGCACAGTGATCGATCTCAGGGTGTTCTGTCGCTTTGTATGTGTAGCACACAAAGCCGGGAAGTCGAACACGAAGGCCACATGTAAGTAACTGCAACATATTACAGACTACATTGTGAATGACTTCGAAGGTAGATCACTTGATCTGATTTTGGAGTTGTATCTCTGATGTATCCCTTTACTGCACTGACCCGATCTCTTAATTTTCTCTCCTGGCGAACAACCTGGTTGTCAACGTCGGCTGCGCTTGTGCTACTCAGACCAAGGCAAGGGCTCGACGAAGACAGCATCGACCGAGATCCGACAGTTAGAAATTAAGATAGTCTTGCCATGTCCATGAAACTAAATCTGCACCTCGTCGAAAACGGCACCTCGCCTAAAGCGAAAACGGCTCCTATTACTGAAACAAATTATAATAAACTCATATGGTCACATGCAAACACAGATATGAAATGTGAAATGTTAATTGCCTCAAAACAAGTTTACATTGTCACAACTGTGACCAGTGACTCGTTATGTTTGTGGTACTGGGCTTTCTGTAGCCTATCATAGAGAAATTGGCCGGACTGAACATGACATTCATTTTCGCTGTTTAAGATGCGTAGATCACGTTATAGAAGAGACGATTGGCAATGATATTTGTGAAAAGATACTTGACAACGATAAATAAAGAATAACCGTGTATAAAGCATATGCACTACAGCATAAATTACCAGAAGCGGTGCCGTTTTTCGCCAGAGAAATCGGTGAAGATTTGCCGAGGTGCCGTTTTAGCCTGCACCCGGTCATGGATACACTGTTCCAATGTATAGCCTCGAGTTCTGTGTTCATATCATATCATCATGTTGTTATTGGTGGTGTTCTTGTGGAAACATCTTTTGAAAATGCATCAACACGATACAGGAAAATGATAACTCCTTCATATTTTCAGTGAACACCATAACACCCACAAGTTAGTAATGGAAGTACAAAGCCAACCACAGAATCCTGGCCCTGTTTAAGATGCGTAGATCACGTTATAGAAGAGACGATTGGCAATGATATTTGTGAAAAGATACTTGACAACGATAAATAAAGAATAACCGTGTATAAAGCATATGCACTACAGCATAAATTACCAGAAGCGGTGCCGTTTTTCGCCAGAGAAATCGGTGAAGATTTGCCGAGGTGCCGTTTTAGCCTGCACCCGGTCATGGATACACTGTTCCAATGTATAGCCTCGAGTTCTGTGTTCATATCATATCATCATGTTGTTATTGGTGGTGTTCTTGTGGAAACATCTTTTGAAAATGCATCAACACGATACAGGAAAATGATAACTCCTTCATATTTTCAGTGAACACCATAACACCCACAAGTTAGTAATGGAAGTACAAAGCCAACCACAGAATCCTGGCCCTGTTTAAGATGCGTAGATCACGTTATAGAAGAGATGATTGGCAATGATATTTGTGAAAAGATACTTGACAACGATAAATAAAGAATAACCGTGTATAAAGCATATGCACTACAGCATAAATTACCAGAAGCGGTGCCGTTTTTCGCCAGAGAAATCGGTGAAGATTTGCCGAGGTGCCGTTTTAGCCTGCACCCGGTCATGGATACACTGTTCCAATGTATAGCCTCGAGTTCTGTGTTTTCGAGCCCCTAAGACGTATTCCGCCTTATACTACTGCTACTGATTTGGTCTACTGGGTATGGAAAATCACGGTGCTAATAAATTATCAGTGTGTTCTATGTGGGACATTATCTCAGTATCTTTATCAAGTATTTTATCATAATTCATATCATATCATCATGTTGTTATTGGTGGTGTTCTTGTGGAAACATCTTTTGAAAATGCATCAACACGATACAGGAAAATGATAACTCCTTCATATTTTCAGTGAACACCATAACACCCACAAGTTAGTAATGGAAGTACAAAGCCAACCACAGAATCCTGGCCCTGTCACTCAAACACGTTTAATCACAGACTGTAAGAGAGAATTTCTTGAAACAGATGATCTCAAGAAACAATCTGCTACCGACACATTGGAAACAGATGATCTCAAGAAACAATCTGTTACCGACACATTGGAAACAGATGATCCCACGAAACAATCTGTTACTGTCACATTGGAAACGAATAATCTCAAGAAACTATCTGTTTCGGACACGCTCGAAACAGGGAATGCCGAGAAACAGAGAGATTGTGGTGGTTCACCAAAGCAACCTCATAGGTGTAGTGCATGTGGGAAAACATTTGCACAATCCGGTAAAATGAAACGGCACATGCTTTGGCACAATGAAGTGAAGTGTGATGGTCCAGAAAAGCAGCCTCAGGTCAAGCCTTATCAGTGTGATGAGTGTGGGAAAACGTTTACAAAATCACGTGGCCTGCAGTTACACATGAGGCTTCACAGAGGGATCAAGCCATATCGGTGCATTGTATGTGAGAAAACATTTACGACTTCAGGTAGTCTGAGGAAACACATGAGGGTACACATTGGATGCAGGCCTTATCAGTGCAATGTGTGTGAGAAAACATTTTCACAATCAACTAATCTGAAGAAACACTTGAGGATTCACAGTGGAATCAAACCCCATCAGTGCATTGTGTGTGAGAAAACATTTTCACAACCACGTGGACTGCAGACACACATGAGGATACACAATGGAAACAAACCTTATCGGTGCGTTGTGTGTGAGAAAACATTTAGACACTCAGGTAGTCTGAAGAAACACATGAGGATTCACAGTGGAATCAAGCCTTATCAGTGCGTTGAATGTGGGAAAACATTTACATTATTGGATGGCCTGAAGTCACACATGTGGATTCATAGTGGAATCAAGCCTTATGAGTGTGTTGAATGTGGGAAAAGATTTGTAGGCTCAACTGGTCTGCGGGGACACATGGGAATTCACAGTGGAATCAAGCCTTATCAGTGTGCTGAATGTGGGAAACAATTCACATTATCGACAAGGCTGAGGTCACACATGATTATTCACAGTGAAAACAATCCTTATCGGTGTGTTGAATGTGGGAAACAATTTACAAATTCAGTTAACCTGCAGGCACACATGAAGATTCACAGTGGAATCAAGCCTTACCAGTGTGTTGAATGTGGGAAAACATTTGCACATTCGCATCAAATGAGGATACACATGAGGATTCACAGTAAAATCAAGCCTTATCAGTGTATTGAATGTGGGAAAGGATTTATAACGTCAGCTATACTTCTGAATCATATGAAGATTCACAGTGGAATAAAACCTCATAAGTGTGTTGAATGTGGGAAAACATTTACACAGTTGGGTGCACTGCAGACACACATGACGATTCACAGTGAACTCAGGCCTTTTCAGTGTGAAGTGTGTCAGAAAACATTTAAATTACCAAGCGTCCTGAAGAGACACATGATGATTCACACTGGAAGCAAGCCTCATCAGTGTAATTGGTGTCCGAAAGCATTTCCACTATCAAGTGATCTGAAGAAACACATGAAAATGCACAGTTATATCAAGTCAAAGAAGTGCGTTGAATGTGGAAAGGGATTTACAATATCACGTTACCTTCAGTTGCACATGAAGATTCACGGTGGAAACAAATGAGTGAGTGAGTTGGGTTTAACGCCGCTTTTAGCAGTATTCCAGTTATATCACGGCGTGTCAGCTTAATGTGGTAGGAAAGCCCGAAGTGATGAAGGTCTCAGACGTTTACCACTTCGGTGAAACCCACGAGCACGGGTATGGTGCTGACAAACCTAGAAACATAATCGGGGCGAACCGGGATTCGAACCCACAATCATAGGTTTCTGGCGTGTCCAAGGGACGCAACTCTGCACATCGCAGACTGGACCACCCGTGCCCCCGGAAACAAATGAATGAAATGAGTTGGAGTGTAATGTATACATTACAACTGGTAAATGACAAATCAATCATGTCTTGTCAGTTAATCTTTTAATCCCTCCTTGGGCCTTTGATACCAAGAATGTGTGCCATCTTCTCAGTATGACGACTGTTTTTTGGGTACTCAAGATAAGACTCAGTATATAATGTACAAACAATTATCATTTAAGTATAATAATCTTTGAGGATATTGTTTCACAGAGTGTATACTAATCTATCATCAAAGCAGTTTTCAACAGCTCTCTTATTATTCGACATGTTTGATCATCTTCACATGGGAAAAGGTTGTGAAAGTGAAAGATCTGTTATGTAGGTATGGATGAGAGTATTGTTTATATACACATCAAAGCAAATGTTTGTTTGACATTGGGTAACTTACCATGAACTAGACCTTCTGATATGTGTAAATAAAGCGACAAAACCATTTCATAGCCAGCAGAGAACTCTGCATAAAGCAGCGTCGATTGTAGGAACCCGACTACTAGTATATCATGTGGATGTGTTTATGTTCGTTTTGTTTTGCCGCACTCAGCAATATTAAAGCTATGTGACGGCGGTCTGTAAATAATCGAGCCTGGCGCAGACAATCTAGAGGTTGACATCATGAGCATCGATCCACAGAATTGGGATCGATGACAGCGAGCCTGACCACCCGATCCCGTTAGTCGCCTCTTACGAATAGCACAGTCGCCTTTTACGACAAGCATGGGTTGCTGAAAACCTACTCTATGCAGGATCGTCAAGATTAGTTCATGTTTATTGTCTTGGTCGTTTTTCATAAATCAAACGTGTTTTGACAACAAGAAAGAAACACTTTGTCGCTTCAGACGGCGTGATCTACTGTGCAGAGTTCTTGCGCCTCCTAGGCGTACTAGTAAACTATGATAGTGGGTTTGAATCCCAGCACCATACAAATACACCACTTAGGGATTTCCTCCCGCTTCAGGGGCGGTCGGGTAGCTCAGTGGTTGAAGCGTTTGCTCGTCAAGCCGAAGACCCGGGTTCGATTCCCGAGATGGGTACAATGTGTGAAGCCCATTTCTGGTGTCCCCCGCCGTGATATTGCTGGAATATTGTTAAAAGCGGCGTAAAATCATACTCACTCACTCTTCCCACATCAAGGTGATTTGCTGTGAAATAACTGAAACTTTGTTCAAAACGACGTTAACCCACGTCGTGACGTTAGTCACGGGGAGTCGTTGGATGGTTGACCGTGTTCGGCTGTTTGGCTCCTGAGAGTTGCCAGGGCTGCGGTCTTGCCCCACACTGAAACACATGTGTTGTATCTTTGGGCAAGTGACTTGGCTCGGCATTTACCTCTGTTCAGCCAGCCATCGCTTAAATCGATGAATTCGCTGTGCAGAGTGGTATTCCGTGCCAGAACCAGTTCCCAGTTTGTCCTGATTATGTTTCTTCCTCCCACTTCAAGTTGACACGCTGTGACACGACTGACATACTCTTCAGAGCGGCGTTAAACAATAGTCACTCACGAATTTCACAATAATGTTTTTGCGATGTCTATATTTATATCATATATACTTAATCGGAGTTTGTATTTGTAAAGTTGTGACTGAGTTCGATCTTGATAAAATGTCACTTTGTCGTATTGTCGCCCTTTTTCAAAACAGCAAGTTTTTACATGTTATTAAGTATTGAATGTATAATCTAATTTGATTTGCTGAATGTGAACCAACTCTTAACCCTATGAATACAATCTGAATTGGACCAAATTTGGCCTTTGTTATTTTTGGCAGGCAGACAGACAGTTGATTTCGGCAAACACTCAAGAATATTACATCTTTCACTTATATGATGATTTACACAGTGCTGCCGCAAGTGGTAGTTCCAGATTTTGCATTTTCCCGATTGATCGTGATCTACCCGTGCAAATATATGGGGAGGTGTTCTCACTAATCTGAATAACCCCAGTGTTATTGTCCTTGATAACGCCAGTTATCACAACGTGCGTGAACCGGGTACAGGCACGCCAACCATGAGCACTGTTATTTCCCTTCTTGCAGTGTCGCATACAAACCATCTCACACCAAGATACAGCCTATGGAACAGATCCGACTGAACAAAACGCCCATTTAATACAGAGTAGTGAGTGAGTGAGTGAGTTGGGTTTAACGCCGCTTTTAACAATATTCCAGTTATATCACGGCATGTCAGCTTATTGTGGGAGGAAAGTCCGAAGTGATGCAGGTCTCAGACGTTTACCACTTCGGTCAAACCCACGAGCACGGGTATGGTGCTGACAAACCTAGAAACATAATTTGGGCGAACCGGGATTCGAACCTACAATCCTAGGTTTCTGGCGTGCCCAAGGGACGCAACTCTGCACAGCGAATCGCGGCGCCTTAGACGACTGGGCCACCCGTGTCCCCCAATACAGGGTAGACAAGCTGGTACAGCATCATGGCCACGCCGTCTTACGCCAGAAAATGTGAGCTGAATCTGACATAACTCATCTGGGCCAACTGCTATACAGGGTAGACAAACTAGTAGAGCATCACGGTCACTCCGTCTTACGTCAGACAATGTGAGCTGAAGCTGACGTAACTCACCTGGGCCAACTGCTATACAGGGTAGACAAACTAGTGGAGCATCATGGCCACGTCATCTTACGTTCAACCGTCAGACACTGTGTTTGTTAATTGTTTAACGCCGCACTCTGCAATATTCCAGCTATTAGTGACGGCATCAGATAATGTGAGTTCAATCCAATAGGGCTCATCTGGACCAACTGCAAAAGGTTTACACCTCGAGGAACACAACCTTCAAGCCGAGAGATGTCAAAACTCTTATACATGCTTCTTTTGCAAGAATTACTCCTGAAGTTTGTCAAAAGGCTGAAGATCATGTCCTTGACATTAAACATCAGTACCGCCAACGTGATGGAGTCATGATATGTTAAAACTGGCATAGCCAGCGAATTATATAACTTTGTAAAGACATTGTGGGGGCCACCAACCCATTGCCTTATTCGTAGCAATTTAGAGACCCAGGGCTCTACTTGCCGACTGAGCCAAAGCCCTGGCTGTGATATTGTAGTCTTAATGCTCCTCCAAGAGAAGGCGGAGATATGTCTTTCTATCAACTGTATTTTAACACAGTATTGCAACAATTGAATACCTGACATGATCGAGGTGTAGCCTGAGTACGGAAGTGCATTACCTTAGATTTATCCCCATTAATTTGCATATCATTATTCACACACCAGCTTCCAAGTAATCCGAGTCTGTTTCCGCCAAAAGAATTACGTCATCAGCATATACAGTAAACTACGGTTATAACGAACACGCTTATAACGAACTGACGGATATAACGAACTTACTTTTGGGTCCCGACTATTTGCTGTTGTTATACTGTATATATGCTTATAACGAACTACGGTTATAACGAACTAAAATTAGTAGTCCCTTTGAGTTCGTTATAACCGTACTTTACTGTAGTAAAAAGCATATGAACTCTGCCTTCACAATTAATCCAATACCAAAATCCCTAAGAGTAAGTGCAAGGTTGATTAGAAATAGGTTGAATAGGAGAGGCGACAAAAGGCAGCCTTGTATGACACCTCATTTGACCGAAAACCTATCGTAAAATCATTGACTCTCACACAAATTGAAACATTATCATAAAAAGAGTGTAATCCTTCTCCACATTTTACCTCTACCCCCATTTCACTTAGTCTGAGCATAATATACGTCTGTCCACTAAATCGTAAGCTTTCCTAAAGTCGACGAAGCTTTACAAATGTTTTTCTTCAACCTACTTTCTACGATTGAAGTCAGTGATGATAAATGGTCTATTGTGCTCCTATCCTTTGTAAACCCATTTTGTTCTTCCGCAATAAAACTTGAATTGTCAGCCCAAACCTATTATTTAGGACATTACGGTACAATTTGTACACCACCGAAACTAAACTAATCCCCCCATATGAGAGGGCCTCTTCAGGGTCTGCTGAGTTAAACTTCGGTATAGGATTAATAAGGCTCCCAGGCCATATTTCTGGGATCTGACCTTTACTGTGACATATATTAAACTGTTTTTGAAGAAACAAAATTGTGCTATTGTTCCTTAACACTTCAATAGGAATATCGTCCGGTTCCGTGGCCTTCCCATTTTGACCTTTGACATTGTTATGTCATCCTCAAACTATACAAGAAGTGGAGGATCTATTATTGGTACATTTAACAACTTACTGCTTGTGTCATTTACACTCAATAAATTAGAAAACCCATTCTTCCATTTTTCCAGAACATAAAAATAATAAGTAGTCACAGAACCGTCCGGTAATACAATCTCTTGCGCCGCTCACTACCCACTCCAACTCGATCTATAGTTTTCCAGGAAAAACGACAGTCTTCATTAGCGGCCTCCATGATATCCCTCTGCACTTTATCTACATGTTGCTGTTTACAACGTCCAACACATCTATCGAAGTGCTTACGTTTCTTTACATATAGAGATTGAAGGTATTTCTTATTTAAAACCCTATGTTTAACCAGTTATTTTCAGCAACACACGTATGGTTCTATAACTCAGTCAAATGTTCGTTCCACCACGGCTTTTTGTATCGTCTCATTTTATTACTGTTCACGTCGGATGTTAATGTTACAGTTTTGTAGAGGAGTTTATCTGACATCTCACCTTACCATGCCACACCAAGTATCATATGCATCATCTGTGTCAGTCTGTGTAAGTGTGGTGTTCTCCAAGGATGATATAGGTTGCTGAAGTAACCCTACGACCTCTGGACTTGACATGCATGCTGGGTCAATTTTAGTT